ATTAGGTTTTTTTCAAATTAGCCAGCTGCCTAAGAGCAGTGCTTAAATAGAAGTGAATCAGCCTTCCAGAGGTGGGCTCAGGGTAAATTTGAATAAAAGTCCTTGGGTGATGGTGTTAAATCCCCCACCACAGTCAGACCCCATCATTTGCAAGAGAGTCGCACACTCTCACATGCACACACACACAAACACACACACACACACACACACACACACACACGAGACTTCATAGTCCATACTCTGGCATAGCATTGCCCAGTGGAAATATAGTGCAAGTCACACAGATAATTTATGGGGTTTAGTAGCCAAATTCAAAAATGTGGAATTTAAAAGGTTAAATTAAACTTAATGGTATTTTATTTAACTTAGCATATCCAGAATATTGCTTCAATATATAATCAATATAAAAATTACTGTTATTTCTCCTTTTTGAGTACTAAAGCATTGAATTGTGTGTGTGTGTGTGTGTGTGTGTGTGTGTGCACTGAGTCATGTCTGACTCTTTGTGACCCCATGGACTGTAGCCCACCAGGCTCCTCTGTCCATGAGATTTCCCAGGCAAGAATACTGGAGTGGGTTGCCATTTCCTTCTCCAGGCAATATTCCTGACCTGAGGATCAAACCCTACCTCTTGCCTTTGAAATCTTGTGTGTATTTCGCACTTATTCGGACCAGCCACATTTCAAGTGCTCCGGGGCCACCTGTGGCCAGTCGTTACCTTATTAAACGGGGCAGCTTTGAAGGATGTGGACTTGGAAAGTGGGTCACAGATATGTGACTGATGAAGGTAGCAACCAGATGGCCTGGGGTGAACAAATAGAAATTAGGACCACCTCTGTTTCCCCAGCACTCAATTATATCAATGTCACATTTTTGCTGGAAGTCAGTTATAACTTTGTATAAGTATGTGAAAACTTTTAGAAGAACCTGATGTTGACCCCACCACTTAACTGTGTAACCTTGGACAAGTTACCCAAAACCCTCAATTGTTTCATTTGCCAAATGAAAAATGAAAAGCTTCAATCTCACAGGATTGTTGTGAAGATTAAATGAAATAATGCATGTAAACATTATAAATGCTCAATGAATGCTTGCTATATCATCACAATTGATATGATCATTAGCAAGTTTTTATAAACTAGCTTAAAAGATGAACTATAAAGGCAATCAGGTATTATCAATCTTTCTGTATTTCTCTAAAAAGGAGAAAAATGACTAAACATTCATATGTAATGACTAGTTCCTTAAATTGAGCAGTACACCTCGTGTGTGTCTCTGTGTGTGTGTGTGTGTGTGTGTGTGTTAGTTCTTTAGTCATGTCTGACTCTTTGAGACCCCATGGACTGTAACCTGCCAGGGTCCTCTGTCCATGGAATTCTCCAGGCAAGAATACTGGAGCGGGTAGTCGTTCTCTTCTCCAGGGAATCTTCCTGACCCAGGGATCCAACCCAAGTCTCCTGCATTGAAGGAATATTCTTTATCATCTGAGCCACCAGGGACGTCCATACCTCATCTGTACACTAAGAAATCCTGCAGATACTACCTTGCCTTAAGAACTATGTTGTTACTGTTTTTAAACAAAAGTAGTTACATGTAAGTGCTCTATTCCACAAGGAAACGTGTACAGAAGATTATCCTGTCACTGCATGGTACTGGGTGAGCCAATGATAGAACAGTTTTTGTTTCTCTTCTGCACTCCCATTTATTAATATCTTCTTTTATTTAAAGGCAGTAGAAAAAAGTTACTAAGGCAAAGCTAAAGGAAAAGAAAGCTTTGCATGGCATATGTGAACTAATTTTCCCACAATGGCATATATGAACTGTCAAGTAAAGCACTCCTTTTGCTGTACCCCCATCTAGTGAATCCTCACCAGCAAGAGGGCAGAAGGAAAGCATCTCTTGGGTGTGCTATCTCCAAACGCATTTACCAAGTCACTATCCTTCAAAACTGTAGTGGAATAGTTTCCACCTAAAAGAGAATGATGGAAAAGCATAGCACATGTCAATGCTTGCTATACACGTTTCATGGAGATTTTGTTTAGAATGGAAGATGTAGTGTAGATTTTAAGATGCAAATAAGTGGTGAATAAACATGGGATGTACTTACACATTCATGCCCCAAATGCTGCAAGATATGAACCACACAGAGCAAAGAAATGTACTCAGCCATCAATTTAGAAGGTCATTTTGAATGTAGGCAGTGAAATGGCTGTGTGCATGAAAAACTGCTACTATATTTTGAGAGATCCTTTCTAAGAATCCTGAAATATTAATAACATGGTCTTAATGTAGTTGAAGACAAAAGAGTCTGTTAAGGGTAGCAAGGGTTGCTGAGAGTTGCCCAATGACAATTTTGTGTTTTCTGCTCTTGCTTATAAAAGCAAGAGGAAAAGAGAGTAAAAATAGTCAGTGTGTTTGAAGAACAGCAGCTTTCAATATCCCCAATAGATATAAAATTCAGTATTCCTCAAATGAATTCACAGATACTTACTCTTGGTAACATTAATGTACTAGCTTCAAGGAAACAGAAGTATAAAATTGAAAACTCATTTCTTCCTTAAATGAACATGTATATACACAACTAATTTTTGAATTTTAAGAAATTCAGGACATCCTTCAATTTTATTTTTGTCAACTAGGAATTTAAATTTCTAACTGAAAGTATTCTTATCAGAATAGACATTGTGGAAGCAGCAATGCCTTTTTTTCTTAACAAGTTTTTAAATGTGGTCTGTTTTCACATGGCAGTCACAGACCAATTTTTTTTTTTTTTTCAGTATTTCACTCCCATTTTGTTTTTACATTTGATGCCTGATGAAGGAATGTTCACAAGGATCAGTTAGGAATGTGGAAAGCTTTCCTCCAACATCCAGATGTGAACAAATAAAAGCAATTTATCGCTTTGGCTAGTCCCAGCTCGGAGCGACCCATTTCCACAAGTTGCCTTTGTGGGCTGTGACTGACTGAGTGACATGTGACCCAGTGAGTTTGGGTCAAGTTCAAGTTCAAACACCCATTGTGTTTGAAGTGGGAGGGTCAAGTTGAGCCCTCAGTGCTTCTTCCTGCCAAAACTGGAGTTTTTGATTTTAATCGAAAACGCAGGGTCATCTTTAAGCGTGACCAGAAAGCACCTTGCATGTTGAACCTTATCTAATGACATGATGTGTATAAACTTGAGACAGCATAAATCTCAGCCACTGGGGCAACTTGTTTTTCTAACTAAGATGTTCCGGTCCAGTGAAAGATGAACGCAAATAAGGGAGAGATTGATCTCCGAGTGCTTTTATTGTCGGCGCTACACACGTCATAAAGTTTTGGCTCGTTAAAGGAAGTTCCATAAACAACATTAGTTAATAATGGTGAAGTCACTGTGGACCTTTCTGGAGCTTCTGCTCAACTCCCTTTCCGCTTGCCCGTTAGCAGAGCATGATTAAGAAAATACCAACAGGATGTGCTGGAGGGAGGAACAGACTTCAACTGGAAGCCATATGGATGCTTGATGGATGAGTAACGAGATGGGGAATGTGGCCATATCTCTCAGAGAATCACACAGTTCGGTTTATCTCTTTTTATCTTCTGGTTTGAGTGAAATCTGCTGATTGTTGGAACGGTTGGTCTCTTGCAGTGGTCATGCTGACGGAAAAGGGCCTTCTCCCAGCTGATATTTTTGATAGTATGGAAATACCCAAAGTATGTGATAAATGGAAAAAAAATTGAGAGTGAATCATACTGGAAAGATCATGGGTAACTGTCACAGTTTTAATGGTACCTCTGGTCTTATAACTGTATTTTTAATGGCCTTGTCACTGTGGGTTTAATACGGATGGTGTGGGTCAATTTTTATGTGAGGCTGAGACAGATTTGGGAGGTGATCTTGAAGGGCATAGGGGAGAGAAAAAGAGAGAGCAAGACCCTATTAATTATTTTTTATTGTGAGGTTTCCCAGAATTATTGAGGTTTTCCACATTAGTCAAAGCAGTCCTCAGTGTCAGCATGATGTTTATAAAGATGAAGTCATGGAAAGCGTGTCAGGTGCATGAGGAACTATATGGTCCATGTTCTCCCCACCAGTCACTTGGGCTGTGTGTGCAGAGGGAGGGAGGTGTTGAAAAATGGAGGAAGGGGAAAACAGGAGGGTTTTATGAAGTTGAAAATAAACACAGAGTATCTGCTGATCTTAAAAAAAAAAATCTTAACATATTATATTCCAGAATGTTCTGTGGGTAGTTTGTATTACTTTCCCCTGAAGTCATGATCTACATCTTACCAACTCTTTTATGCTTGGTTGCTTATGTTGGTCTTTTCACTTTGGCTGTAATTAAGAAATAATCACCTACCAATTTTTGGTTGGCACTGAGCTACACTTCCAACTGGTTGGTTCAAGACCATGCTCTCAGATTCCATAGCATGGGGCCAAAAGTACAGGCTTTGGGGGCTGAACACTTGCGGTCAAAGCTGGTCCCTGACATTTACCAGATGCGTGGTCTGGTGCCGACAATTTACTGCTCAAAGCTGGTATTCCTCATTTCTAAGGTAAGGCTAATAACAGTGCCTGTGGAAATGGAGAGCTGTAAAGATCAAACAGTGTTGTGCATATAAGCATCTAGGAAGCACTTGGATAAACTTTAGGTGTGATTTTATTGATACAACTGGTTTTAAGAAAAATTTTTTCACAGGGTTTTGCCACCTGACCAGTCATGTTAAAGACTGTTAAAGAGTGGTTGTTATCAACAAATATTTTGGGTTGTTTTACCTGCATCTCCACCAGATGCTCACTTGTTGTTCAGTCACTCAGTCATATCTGACTCTTTGTGACCCCATGGACTGCAGCACACCAGGCTTCCCTGTCCTTCACCATCTCCTCGAGCTTGCTCAAACTCACGTCCATTGAGTCGGTGAGGTTAGCAAAAAATATCTGCTTTTGAATCAAGGAAGTGACATCTTGCTTTGCTTTGTTAACCAGGGGTTTATATTTGTTTGTTTTTTCTGCTTCCCTTTAGCTTGCAAAATCGGATATTACAAGGCCCTCTCCACGGATGCCGCCTGTGCCAAGTGCCCGCCACACAGCTACTCTGTCTGGGAAGGCGCCACGTCGTGTACCTGCGACCGAGGCTTCTTCAGAGCGGACAACGATGCCGCCTCCATGCCCTGCACCCGTAAGTTACACACTCATCTCCTTTGTCTTGGATGCCAACAGCTTCCGTTACCGTCACTGGGGCACTTGTCAGCTTTTCTCCCAGGATAACGGTGCAGGGGAACAAATGAAATCAAGTGTGCTTTTCTCACTCAGAGCAGGAGAAATGCTTAGGAAAAGAATGGCTCATTCTCACTGAGTTTGTTGCCTTCAGAACGGACAGCTGCCGACAGACTAGTTTTTATAGCAGAGATGGTATATTCAGGGGTTGTGTGACAGTGTAATTAGAGCTGAGATGGGAATTTATAAACGGTTTTAACATGTCATCATGGATTCTTGGGAAGTTTGACAGCTGCAGGGGAAACGGGTAGAGGATGGGATCACGTGTGGGCAGGTGGTTTCAGTTCTGCTTGCTGACCTCATGGCTTGTGATGTCATTTCCCTTCACTGCTTTTCTTTTTCCTAATAGTTTTGTGTTCCTAACATTTAGGCCTGGATCCTTGTGCATGCTTGTTGAATGATGGGCACTGAACACACGCTGGGGTAAGGAAGGAGCAGGGTTGGCACCTTGGGATGCCAGGGAACAGAGGACTCTTTCTCACACTTTATATGGACAGTGGTCCTAAAGGTTACTACTGCTTTCATTCACCCTCTGGGATTCATAAATCCTGCAATGGCTGTGACCTTGACCAGAAGAGGGAGCGGTGGACCTGGGTGCCCTTGTGTTCTCATTGGCCAAGTCTGTGTTTTCAGGGTCAGAACCCAGTGGCCAGGCACAGAGGCTATGCACAGGTTTGGGATTTGTTTCCCAGCCCACTGTTTAGTACCCAGGTGACTGCTGGAGCCTTTTAAGTCTCAGTCTCCTCATCTGTCAGATGGACTAATAATAGTACCTCCTTCATGGTTGCTCCTACTCAACACCTTCACTTAGTTTATATACTGTGTAAAATGCATAAAATCATGCCACTTGATAGATTTTAGCTTTTACTATCACTAAGACTTCCATTATTGTGTTTCTTAACTACCATATATTCTACCTTGGCTGGCCTGGAAATAACGCAGCAGACAGGAGTATTTTCTGGTTTGGGGGCATTTGGGTCAGTGGTGGGGGCATTTTCTTGCCCAGTCAAGGACCACCTTTAAAAGGAGCAGGTGGAGAAACTTCAGGGCAGTCCCAAATTTGTGCTAAAATTGCCCTACCTTCAGGAGTTCCTTTCATAACCAGAGATGATCATAGTTATAATCATGATAACAGCAACCTTTTTATCATCACATCCAGGTAATGTATTAGACACTTTCCATTAACCTTATCATAGGGCTCACAAGATAACAAATATATGAGATAGATATTATCTTCATTTCAGAGAGTAACTGCCAGCGCCAGTGTCCACCCCAACCGAGTGCTGGCTCTGCAAGACCAAAAGACTCCTGTAGAGTTTCTGTTTATTTGGAGGCATGCTTACCCCTCCCCCAGCTCAAGCACAAACTTCCAGAAGGAAGTTTATTAGGGCCAGCCTTAGGTGTAAGCATAACTGGGCAAAGATTTCCTCATCTTCTTTTTCTGTTCCTTCCATAGACTACCTGCTTCCCCTGGATGCCAGGTCGATTTGATATGCTCAAGTCCCAGCCTTTTTCTTTTCAAATCTAAATATTCTTCTTTAATGTTCCATTGTGTGAGATTAGCTTAATAATAAACCCTCCTCCATCTCCAGTTGATTCTCCAGTTGTGATTTTAGGTCACAGTAGCAAACTCAAAGGGAAACTCTGTGGGCCAACAGTGTGCTAATTGCCCTCAATTTGCATCATGCAACTCAACTCCTACTTTTCAAACAGATAAAGTCTTTCTCTAGGCCAGGGCTTGACTGTGTCATGAACCTCATAAAATTCTCTGATGGCAAGACAACCTGGCTTTTTCTCCCAGGTGTTTTTAGTCTTATGATTCTGATCTGTTGTCTAGCATCTTAGGGGACCATGGGCCAATCACTTAATTCCTGCAGCTTGCCATGTGGGAGTTTAGGGAGACCCCAAAAGTTGGTACATGCCTGAGTTACTGGCACATTTGCCATATGTGTACAAGTGGTTTCTGAACCCTTGAAATTTTATGTTTTTGTAGGAATTAAATTGACAGCTTTACCTTAACTATGCAAATAAGAAAAAGAAAATATTGATGTTAGCCTGTGGGTAGACGTGAAAGTTCTAACACTAAAGTGACTTTTGCATTTTTCAGAGACTGTTTTCAACAATGAAAGAAAGATGGCTTTTGTGTCATTGATAAGAGACCATGAAAGTACCAAAGCAACATACGATCCTCTGACACTTTCCTAATGGGATCCTTGCATTTATTTCATCTCTGACTCTGAGTTAAGAGGAAACATGGTACTGATGTTAACACCACCTACTTGCAAGGCTATTTAATCTCTTCAAGCCCCAGTTTCAGTTCAGTTCAGTCGCTCAGTCATGTCTGACTCTTTTCGACCCCTTGGGCTATAGCACACCAGGCTTCCCTGTCCATCACCAACTTCTGGAGCTTGCTCAAATTCATGTCCATTGAGTTGGTGATGCCATCCAGCCATCTCATTTTCTGTCATCTCCTCCTCCTCCCACCTTCAATCTTTCCCAGCATCAGGGTCTTTTCCAATGAGTCAGTTCTGTGCATCAGGTGGCCAAAGGATTGGAGTTTCAGCTTCAGCATCAGCCCTTCCAATGAATATTCAGGACTGATTCTTTTAGGATTGACTGGTTTGATCTTCTTGCAGTCCAAGGGACTCTCAAGAGTCTTCTCCAACACCACAGTTCAAAAGCATCAATTGATTCTCACATCCATACATGATGTGATGGATCATGGAAAAAGCCATACTGGAAAAGCCATAGCTTTGACTGGATGGACCTTTGTTGGCAAAGTAATGTCTCTGCTTTTTAATATGCTATCTAAATTGGTCATAACTTTTCTTCCAAGGAGCAAGCATCTTTTAATTTCATGACTGCAATCACCATCTGCAGTGATTTTGGAGCCCAAGAAAATAAAGTCTGTCATTGTTTCCATTGTTTGCCCATCTATTTGCCATGAAGTGATGGGACCAGATGCTAGGATCTTAGTTTTTTGAATGTTGAGTTTCAAGTCAGTGTCAGAGGACAGACAAAATGAAAGCCCCATTTTACTCATCTGTAAAATGGGATTCTCAGTAACTACCTGTGGAGTCATTTTAAAAATTAAATAAGAAGATATTTGGAAAAGTCTGGCACAAGGTAGGGATCTAATAAATGTTTGTTCTTTTCTTTTATTCCCAGCTGGTCACTCCCTTCTCCAAACTACCTCCACAGCAGATGGCCCATGCATCTCATTGCCCCTCTAAAGAGATTTTCTAACTTGACTACAGTATTAAGCTACCAATGGCTGTACCATACTCCAGAAGTCCTGGGAATTAGGACTCAGACATCAGCTCAGTTCGATTCAGTCAGTCAGTCGTGTGCAATTCTTTGTGACCCCATGAATTGCAGCACGCCAGGCCTCCCTGTCCATCACCAACTCCCGGAGTCTACCTAAACCCATGTCCATTGAGTTCGTGATGCCATCCAGCCATCTCATCCTCTGTTGTCCCCTTCTCCTCCTGCCCTCAATCCCTCCCAGTATTAGGGTCTTTTCCAATGAGTCAACTCTTCACATGAGGTAGCCAAAGTATTGCAGTTTCAGCTTTAGCATCAGTCCTTCCAGTGAACACCCAGGACTGATCTCCTTTAGGATGGACTGGTTGGATCTCCTTGCAGTCCAAGGGACTCTCGAGTCTTCTCCAACACCACAGTTCAAAAGCATCAATTCGTCGGTGCTCAGCTTTCTTCACCATCCAACTCTCACATCCATACATGACTACTGGAAAAACCATAGCCTTGGCTAGACGGACCTTTATTGGCAAAGTAATGTCTCTGCTTTTAAATATGCTGTCTAGGTTGGTCATAACTTTCCTTCCAAGGAGTAAGCGTCTTTTAATTTCATGGCTGCAATCACCATCTGCAGTGATTTTGGAGCCCCCAAAAATAAAGTCTGACACTGTTTCCACTTTCCCCATCTATTTCCCCTGACGTGATGGGATCAGATGCCATGGTCTTACATCAGTATTTTCAAAAGTTGCCCTCTTCATTCTACCGTACAGACAAGGTTGAGACCACTCCTCTACAAAGTTAAAATTTTAAGTTTTTTTTTAAATTTGATAAATATTAACTGCACAAAAGACTCTTAAGATTCTTTGAGATATAGCTAATCTGCGAAGTGACCATATTTTGCTAATGGATAGACCAGTGAATTAACCAGCAGAATTAGAATCCATTCTGGCCTGTGGCTCTTCCTCCAGATTTCTCCCATCCTGGGGAATAGTGGACCTACATTGTCCAACGTATTAGCCACTAAGCACATGTGGCTATTTTAATTGGCACATTGCAAAGACTCAATAGCTGCATGTGGTGAGCATACTGAATGGCACTGCTAGAAAATATTTCTGCCATCACAGAAAGTTCCACTGGACAGACAGTATGGTAGCAGATTTTTCAATAGAGAAGACAGTGGGAGTTTCTCAGAGAATCTTTTGTTCAAATAACCCATAAAATGAAGCCCTTCCCCTTTGCCCCACCCCCAGCTTTATTGGCTTCTCTTGACAAGATGTGGGGATGGAAAGGAACATAAACATCAAGGATCCTTTCAAAGTGATTCCAGCCTCTAATCAGCTCTTCCCAGTTGGTTAAGCCAGGTGACAAACCCAATTCCCTTGCGCTGACAGCCATGGTAATCAGGGACCTTCTTTGTTCATTATGCTGTCTTTAACCCCAACATTCTTATGCAGCCCTGCGTTTAGTGATCGCTCACTGTGACGGCACACTAATGAAGAAATAAAACACACTCTCTGAGACTCATTCTTTTAGCCAAAGAGAGAGACTGCTCCACTGGCTTGTAAAATCAGGTTTTTCTTCACTTGGCGAATGATTAGACCAGGTGAATACAAGTCGCATTGGCTAATTTAGAAGGAAACGCCT